AAAACAACCAAAATTCATCTTACCCCATTTCTGAGAGTTAGGAATCTGGGTAGCTTTACTAGATGGTTCAGGCTCAGGGCCTCTGATGAGGTTGCCTTCAAGCTCTCACCAGAGCTGCGGTCATGTGAAGGACTGACTCGCCTGGAGGCTTCATTTCCACATTGTATTACTCACATGGAACTCAGTGCCTTATTGGTACAGGGAAGTCTCAGTTCATCAATACATACACTTCTCGTAAGGGCTGTTGGAGTGACCTCAGGACATGGCAGCTAGCTTTCTCCAGTGCAACTTACCCAAGGGAGAGCAAGGAAGAAGCCAGACTCTCTTTTATGATCTGGACTCAGAAGTGAAGTACCATTACCAGTGCTATACTCTATTAGTAACACAGATACACTATGAGGGGAAAATACACAAGAGCATGAACCAAGAACCACATCCTTGCAGGCATTTTGGAGACTGGCTACCACTCTTCTCAAAAACCCTATATAAGATCAACAGCCTGCTTTGCTCAGAGACCATGTTTAACTAGTATAACTCCTCCTTATTTAAATAAATAGTAAATTCAGATTTGAGGGTCTTATTTCAGATACTGTTAGTGTCATTTTTAAAAAATTTCTAGATGTTCTTCCTAGATTTTTTTGAAGTTCCTCATTTGGAAGCATTCTGTTTGACCCAGGAACGAATAACAGTGCTCACTGCACCTACTTCAGCCAAAACTCTGGTAGTGCTTTGTATCTGCTAGAATGTGAACACTTCTATGGCAGGTATTAAGCCTAAGTTATTTCTCAATCTTTATTGCCAAGTATATAGTAGACACTCAGTTAATACTTGTTAAATAAATAGACACAGAAATCATTATAAAGTATTAATCCTCCAATTTTCATCTCATAAAGTTAAGCAGTATTGAGTGGTAGATTGTTGCAAATGTCCAGCTTTTTTGTTATCTAATAGACTTGGTGCCATCTTAGTATCTTCTTACTCAAATGTTTCCAACATGCTTGGTGAAGTTGGGTTTGGGAGGTAGTAGACACATCTCTGATTTTATCATTGAAATCCAAGGAAAAATGGAATTCACTTAGAACTAGCTACCGAGAACTAGCTCAGTCGGGGAGACTCCCACGCAGGCGGGCTGAAGGTATTGAGAGGCAGACACCCAGAAAGAACAACAGAGTGGATCTATCCTGGGGACCAACAATCTGAGAGCCCGTGGGGCCAACAGCTCTCCAGGACTGAAGGCCCTGACCAGAGATTCAGCCACGTATTTATTTGCCCTTTGACTGGTGATTCTATTATGTAGAACACAGGTGTTCTACATAAATACATAATTCAAGAATATGCCAAGTAGGCAGCTGTTACCTGTCTACCACTAATTACAAACTAAAAGGTATCCTCCACAAAGGAGCCATGGGGGCAGGGTAAACTTAATGCTTCTCAACAGAACACAATCATTTCATTAAATGAGGAAGATCTAATTCATCACCCTAATACATTTATTTGTAACTTGAACATATTCAAAAACTTTAGCCAGATACAATATAGCAATTGTTTTTATCTTACTCTTGGATGATTCATGTAAGTATAGCAAATGTTGAAAGTTTGAACCAACTCAACCATGTAAACATAAAACGTTTCTCCCATCAACAATTACAATTACCGTGAAAACACATTCACATCCATTTGCCACTACCAAAGATAATCAAAAGGACATTAGAAAACATGACACTGGAGACTGATGGCTGTGGATAGTGAATACAATAAGGGATGAATGGGCATGTACCCAAACAACTTTTTGAGTCCTATTTGATATAAAATAGATTTTGCAGTGACTATATGTGTCACTTCAAGCAAGCAGATATGCAAAGCATGACATTGACTTAAACATAGTGCATTTAAACTTATCCAAATTAGAATAGGCCATTTCCTATATTTGTGCATATATAAATGATATAAAATATATAGAACTCCTTTCAAATGAGAATATAAGTTTTTTACAGTAATTAATCCTCAAAGAACACCTGAAAGAATGGGTTCAAACTTAAACTCAGTTTTGACAAGAGTAATAAATGTCTATATTCTAAATAAGCAAAGGAAAACCAGGACAAGTCAGGATAGCAAATTTAAGAAGGCAAAATAAATGATATACACATCAAATAGTTACAGGAAAATATGACAAAAATTAGATTAAAAAATATGAGTAGAAATCCAAGTAAATGCTGGGATGTGTATTTTTAAAAGTCTTTAAAAGGTGCAAAAATATAAGCAGAACTAGTTAGTAGCTAGGATTATATTCACAGTAAATCAAACATGTATTGGATTATCATGTCTTATTCTGAGCTTCTTCCCTTGAAAGAAATGAGAAAATTGGAAAAACGTTCAGAGAGAAGTGCCAAAAAGGATCAAGGATTAGCAGGAGGGATTCTGAAGAATACATTAAATAGCCCATTTTAGAAAGTAGAGAGTCATAATAATCTATGCATAGCCTTTATTTTGTCGTTAGTGAATATGTTTCAACTGCAACAAAGGATATATAAGAAAAGAAAGTCTTATGTTGCAAAGTAGAAAATTCTTAAAGATCACCAAAAATCGCCTTGACTGTCAAGTATGATTGCCTAATTGCTGGAATCTTTAAAGCTAGGACAGATTCTAATTTAGCAAATGTATATCAGGTCTTGACTAAAGGCAGTTGTACAAACTGAATGACATTAAAAAATACTTTGTACTTTTTATATGGGAAACAACAGTGATTAGGCCAAGAAATCAGGCTCCAGTATTAATTTAAATAACCATGTAGTCCAGGGGTAAGTAAAATGAAGTGCTAGAAATTATATGAAAAAGTAGTAGAGCTACAGGGCGTTGATATTACCCAGCATCTGAACTAATGAGAAACTTGACAGTAATACAATAATACAATTTCAGTTAAAATGGACCATTGGTTTGGGAAAGTAATTTGATCATTCATTTGTATTTCCTAAGTGATTTTCTTGAAAGATAATAGCTAATCCAGCCCTTCAAAGTATCTCCATTAGAATTTCAAGAATTATAGGGCCAATGCTCCCTAATATAATCCACAGCTTCAAGGTTAAAAATTTGCCAAAGTCACAAAAGCTTAATGAAGGAGGGAAACAAGTTCAGCATATTTGTAGCAGGCCAGAGGGTTGGGAAGCTTGAGGACAGATAGTGCATAAGGAAAGACAACCGAAGATATGTTAAAAGGTCAACTTTCCAAAATAGCCTTTCCAAAAATAAGTGTGACAAGCCATATATTTCTGGAAAAAAATTAAATACTTGTTTTTTACTTGGTCTAAGATTATAAAATAATAATGTAGAAGAAACTCTTTGCACCTATTAAACAAGTTGAAATTATGACTTATGCAGCATTCCAGTTACAAGCAAGCCACTATTCTAAGAAATACGGGATATAAAAATATGGACATATCAGGATTTTTAGAGAATGTATTGTCCTAATACTAGGTAATTTGTTACCAACCTATGCCATTTATGGAGCATTCGTAACTCTATTTACTCCTTGGTTCTTGCTGTTGATAGATCTCTGAATTTACAGAGTGAAATCACTAAACAGGAGTGCCTACATTATAGAGTATTAATATTGGAACACATAATAAATTCCCAGAGCTATCTTCCCTAAAATGTTTATAGTTAAGAAGTTACTCAGTTTTAGGAAGCACGTCTGTAATAGACTAATCTTTTTCAAAGCAAATGTTGCAAATCTCTTGTCAGTCAATTTAACAACAATGTAATTCAAAAAGATTCAAGGCTCCAGTACTTAACCCAAAGAAAAAAGAAAAAAAAAAAAAAAACACCACACACACACATACATAGCAAAAAGCTTGGAAATCAGAGTTCAAAAGTAACAACCTAATGCCACTTGTATATTTTCTTTTTATTTGTTTTATCTCAACAAAATTTGCTCTATTTAGAGCAAATAGGCTCTAAACAACAAACACAAATAAATATAGGTCACCTTCTGATAATTTCAGGTGGAAAATCGCAGAGAAAATAAATAGCGGTCAGGTTCTTAATTCATCTTGTTGAACCCAAAGCTTTCAACTTAAGATATGCTTTTTCATGATTTTCTTTCCTTTTCTTTCTCTATTCTTTCTCTAGGCTATTATAGAACTAAGCACTTAAATATGACTTTGTATACACCAGCCCAATGATATTAAACTGAATTTGTGACTTCCTTTTTTTGATTGTTTTTTTGAGACAGAGTCTCATTCTTGTCGCCCAGGCTGGAATGCAGTGGTGCGATCTCAGCTCACTGTAACCTTCACCTCCTGGGTTTAAACGATTCTCCTTCCTCAGCCTCCTGAGTAGCCGGAGTTACAGGCACCTGCCACCACACCCAGCTAATTTTTTGTACTTTTAGTAGAGATGGGGTTTCAGCATGTTGGCCAGGCTGGTCTAGAACTCCAAAATCAGGTGGTCTGCCCACCTCGGCCTCCCAAAGTGCTGGGGTTACAGGCGTGAGCCCCTCCTCCCCTCGCCCAGCCAATGCTCTTTAAGTTTTCAAATGCAAGTTTCAAAACTTCAAGAGAAAATTAGAAAGACTGATTGTACCAAGTGTTGATACAGCTGTGGAACAAATGCAACTCTCATATCTCTGCAGTGGGTGGGTAATATGGAACCTTATAACCAATGTGGAAAACAGGTTAGCCAAAACAAATGCAAACACATATCTAAACACAGTCCTGAACATGAATGTTCATAGCAGCTTTACTTGTAGTAATGCAAAAGTGAAAACAATCCAAATTTTCAACAGCCAGTGAGTAGACAGGCACAATGTAGTTCCCCTGTTCCAGTGTAGGCATGAAAGCATAAAATAGTCCCTTGTTAAATTGCAGGCATAGCATCTAAGAAGAGAACAATTCTATAGGATCTACGTATCACCCCACATCATCTAAGTAATGAATATAGTTATATATTTAAATTATAAGGTATTACTTCCTCTTTACAACAAAAAATAATGTTCAATATCTTACCTATGTATCTATATCCTTCTTCCCCATTTACTATGGGTCTCAACCAAGTTGACTTGAGTCGTGTACTGTTAGGCACGTTCGCGCCTTCAGGAGGATAGAGTGTAAATAACATTTCAATTGCTTTGGACTTTTTGATTAGTTCAGAATATTTTTCTTTGCCATCTATAAAGAAAAGAGAAAATATATAAAATTTTAAATATTTTACAGAGTGTCATATTTGCTTCTTTTAAGGGATGCAAATTAAAAATGATTTAACAATTTGGATACTAAGGGTCACACTGAAAACATGTTTGTTTTAGTCAAAGTTACTTTATCAACTGAACTTTATTGTTCAGTTAATTCCCAGCAAAAATAAACAGTAAGGGCTTTACTAATAACTTCTTAAACCACTATCAGCTGGAAGCAGTATTGTTAAAGCTGTGAAAAAATAATTAAGATAACCAATGAACAGCATTCACATTATACATCCTATAACTTAACCATATATTCTTACTTTTAATATAAATAATGGAATCAGATTAATCTGACAAAAATGTTGAAGTAAATATAGAGCTCCATATGTTGGAACTACTAAAAGAAGTAACATTCCTCGGCTATCGTTTTTAAGAAAATATAAAAATGCATATTGCTGTGACTGAATTATTTTTATCTGGGCATTTGTGTAGCACATATTATATGCAAAGGATTATTCCTAGTGCTTTAAAATATTAACACATTTAATTTTCATAACATACCTATATGGTAAGTCCTATTATTATTTCCTTTTACATGTAGAAACTGAGACCCAGAGAAGTTAAATAACTTGCCTAATTCTCACCGTCTATAAATGATGCAAGTAGGCTTCAGATACCTAAGAAAGCTCTTATTTGCAAATGAATCTTTGTCAACTGAACATGACCTGTAATAACTAGAAGCTGAGAAAACTGCAATTAAACAATAATTTAAATTGCAGAGTGAAAAATCTCTGGTATACCCACTGGGCCTCCAGTTTGTAATTCTAGTTTTTGATTGATAAGTAGGGGTCCTAAAATTCAACAAAACAGTCTCCTGAGGATTTAAAGTGATTCTGCCTACAAACATTTTAAAGAAGAGACACTAATGTAAATCTCTACTTATAACCCCATTACATATATTTATTTCTTTCCTCTTAGTTTCCTTTTTTTTTATTACATGTAATACTTTCTGGTAAAATGAATGTAAGGCCATATGACATGATTTCATAGCTAGCAGTGTGCCAGGTATCCATGTATTGCCTCACAAATCCAAATCCATCCTTCATTGTCCTGCTTCTGAGACTAGAACACTTCTTCCTTGTAATATGCCATGATTTTAAGTATAAAGCAAAGAGGGCAATGGAGAGAACTAGAGGATGAATGTGTTCTTTCTGGATCTGGTGGGCCTCTCAGCAGGCTCCTGCAATTTCTCTGACATCTCAGAGGGCACTATTCTCCCACCACTGTGTGCTTCCTAGAGAGTTCCGCCAGCGCAGCACCTTCCTATGAATGGCTTCCCATTGAGCTCCACAACGTGACATCTCCCTACAGACAATTTTTCCAAGACCCACAGAATGGCTTTTCTATGAATGCTACTAGTATGCAAGCTCACTGTACTCCACCATTCATGAATCCCCATGGGTGGCCTTTGTAAAAATTTGTTCTTTCCTTAGATGCTCTACCTCAGACGAAGGTGTCCCCATATCTTCTCTTGTCAATTATTAGAGTTCTTTTACCCCTTAGTAGACAATCACAGTTCCTCCAATCTCTGTCATAGTTAATAACCACTATATTAGACTTTTCCTGCTTAAATTACTATGAGTTTCTATCTGCTAAGTGGACCCTAACTGATATAGACAAATCTGGGTTCTCATTCTTAATGGGCTTTGAAATACAGTCATGTGGAGAGAGATCCAAGATGGCTGATCACTAGCAGCTCAGGATTGCAGCTCCCACTGACAGCGCAGAGAACGAGAGGACGCCACACTTTCAGATCAATTTTTGTTGCTCACGCACCAGATTTCCAGCGGAGGGGCCCCACAGGTCGCCAGCGCGACTCTTGTGGCCAGCGAGGCGGTTTTGCCGCTGCCTTGGTGTGGCGGTTCTCTGTGCAGAGTCAGAAAAGCACCATCAATCTTAAAGCCACTGTTTTGGCCGGCGCAGTGGGTTGCTCAGATTTTAGCGCCGGGAATCAACGGACGTCCATTCAGAAACCCAGCTATAAAGACGGTAATTATAAAGACCACAGATGGATAGATTTATAACGAAGGGAAGAAACCAGCCTAAAAAGGCTGAGAATACCCAAAATCAGAACGTTTCTCCCTCTACAGGGGATCACAGTTCCTCATCAGCAACAGAACAAGGCCTGATGGAGAAAGACTGTGTTCCATTAGCAGAAGCAGGCTTTAAAAAGTGGATGATAAGAAACTTCTGGGAATTAAAAGAACTTGTTCTAACCCAATGCAAAGAAACTGAGAACTTTGAAAAAAGGTTTGACGAAATGTTAACAATAACACACAATTTAGAGAGGAATATAAGTGAATTAATGGAGTTGAAAAACACAACACGAGAACTTCGCGAAGTATGCACAAGTTTCAACAGCCGAATTGATCAAGCAGAACAAGAGATATCAGAGGTCAAAGACCAACTTAATGAAATAAAACAAAAAGACAAGATTAGAGAAAAAAGGATAAAACAGAACGAGCAAAGTCTCCAAGAAATATGGGATTATGTGAAAAGACCTAATCTACGTTTGATAGGTGTACCTGAATGTGACAAAGAGAATCAATCAAGCTGGAAAATACGCTTCAGGATATTATTCAGGAAAACTTTTCCAACCTAGCAAGGCAGGATAATATTCAACTCCAGGTAATACCGAGAACACCACAAAGATATTCCTCAAGAAGAACAACCTCAAGGCACATAATCGCCAGATTCACCAGGGTTGAAATGAAAGAGAAAATACTGAGGGCAGCCAGAGAGAAAGGTCAGGTTACCCATAAAGGGAAGCCTATCAGACTCACAGCAGATCTCTTAGCAGAAACCCTACAAGACAGAAGAGAGTGGGGGCCAATATTCAACATCCTTAAAGAAAAGAACTTTCAACCCAGAATTTTACATCCAGCCAAACTAAGCTTCATAAGCGAAGGAAAAATAAAATCTTTTGTGAACAAGCAAGCACTCAGAGATTTCATCACCACCAGGCCTGCTTTACAAGAGCTTCTGAAAGAACCACTACAAATAGAAAGGAACAACCAGTATCAGCCTTTCTAAAAAATACCAAAAAATAAAGAACATCAATATAATTAAAAACTTGCATCAACTAATGGGCAAAACAGCCAGCTAACATTAGTTGGCAGTATCAAACTCACATATATTGTTATTAATTCTAAATTTAAATCGACTAAATCCCCCAATCCAAAGACACAGACAGGCAAAAAAAGCCAAGACCCATTGATATGCTACATCCAGATCCATCTCACATGCAAGGATACACAAAGATTCAAAACAAAGGGATGGAGAAAAATTTACCAACCAAATGGAGAGCAAAAATAAATAAATAAATAGAAAGCAGGAGTTGCAATTTTTGCTGATAAAATAGACGTTAAAGCAACAAAGATCAAAAGAAGCAAAGAAGGATATTACACAATAGAACGATCAATGTAACAAGAAGAGCTAAATATCCTAGATATATATGCACCCAATTCAGGAATACCCAGATATATAAGACTTATCAAGAGACTTGGACTCCCACATAATAATAGTGGGAGACTTCAACATCAATATTAGACAGATCACTGAGACAGAAAGTTAACATCGATATCCAGGACTTGAACTCAAATCCAGAACAAGTAGACTTAATTAACATTTATAGAACTCTCCACTTTAAATACACAAAATATACACTCTTATCAGTACCATATCACACCTATTTATAGATTTAAATGAAATATTGGTTGGCTGCTTGTTAATTATTTTCTTTCCTCATTTTTTTTATGCCTCTATTATTAAACACAATTAAGGCATACCCATTTTTAGACTGCATTCTACCCCGGGCAATAAAGCAACACCCCTGTTCTCTCTCCCTCTTCCTCTTCCTCTTTCTTCCTCTCCTTCATTCTTTTTTCTTTTTCTTTTCTTTTTTTTATTCTTTCTCTTTCTTTCTTTCTCTCTTAAAAAAAAAAAGAGAGCTGGCTCTGCAAAAACATGGAAGGGATTTGGGAGAAGGTGTGTGGGAATAAGAAAAAAAAAATACAGTCATGTGATGTATAACAACATTTCAGTCAATGATGGACCAAATATAAAATGGAGCTAAAATGCCTAGCAAAATCCTGGCTGTGGTAGCATTGTAGCACAATGAATTACTCACGTGTTTATGATGATGCTGGTGTAAACAATGTTACTGCCAGTTAATGTATAGAACATGCAACTATTTATAGTACATAATACATAATAATAAATGGCTATTACTGGTTTCTGTATTTACTATACTATAATTTTTAACATTATGTTACAGTGTACTTCTTCTGCTTATTAAAAAACAACTGTAAAACAGCCTCAGTCATGTCCTTGAGGAGCTAGTCCAGAAGAAAGCATTGTTATCATAGAAGATGGCGGCTTCATGCTGCTATTGGCCCTAAAGATTTTGCAGTGGGACAAGATGTGGAGGAGGAAGACAGTGATATTGACGATCCTGTGTAGGCCAAGGCTAATGTGTGTGTTTGTATCTTTATTTTTAACAAAAAGTTAAAAAAATTAAAAATATAAACAAATTCTAAAATAGAAAAGTCTTACAGAATAAGGATGCAAACATATGAGGTATTTTTGTACAGTTATACAATGTATTTGTATTTTCAGCTAAGTGTTACTACAAAATGTCAAAAGGTTACAAATAAATTTAAAAGTTTATAAAGTAAAATATAGTAAGCTAAGGTTAATTTTTTATTGAAGAAAGAAAACATTTTTGTTATAAATTTAGTATCACCTAAGTGTTCAGTGTTTATAAAGTCTACAGTTGTGGACAGTCATGTCCTGGGCTTTCACAATCATTCACCCTTTACTCACTGACTCATCCAAAGCAAATTTCAGTCCTGCAAGCTCCATTCATGTTAAGTGCCCTATATAGGTGTATCATGTTTTGTTTTGGATACTGTATTTTTACTGTACCTT